TCTACTCAAGTAAAAATGATAAGAGAAGTTATTGATTTTTTATAAGAGTGAGACATTAGTAAGAGTGAGATAGGAGGAGAAAAGCTCTATAACAAAATTAAGAAAAATGCTTGAGACCCTCAAAATGGGTGACCCTCATAACTCCGAATTGATTGGCGACCACTCATTATGTATTTTTTTCCCTATCTCTCTTACACATGTGGGTGGGGGTTGTAAGGGTCTGTGGCGCTTCTGTTTTATAATTAAATAAGAAAATGTCATAATTTCATAATTTTCAGTCATAATTGAAAAAAAAAAAAATCATAAGCAAACATTAGATGAGGCATAATCAAAGATCTCATTAGTCATAATTAAAATATTGTCATAACTAAAGAAGAAAATCGGTTATAACTAAAATCACGATATTTGTAAATTTTTGATTTGTTATACATTCCATCATTGAGAGCCTAATTCCCTTCCCACATCATTGTGAGTGAATTTGTAGGTCAAATATGTGGGTCTTTATCATTACTCTAAATAATAATAATAATAATAATAATAATAATAATAATAATAATAATAATAATAATAATAATAATAATAATAATAATAATAATAATAATAATAATAATAATAATAATAATAATAATAATAATAATAATAATAATAATAATAATAATAATAATAATAATAATAATAATAATAATAATAATAATAATAATAATAATAATAATAATAATAATAATAATAATAATAATAATAATAATAATAATAATAATAATAATAATAATAATAATAATAATAATAATAATAATAATAATAATAATAATAATAATAATAATAATAATAATAATAATAATAATAATAATAATAATAATAATAATAATAATAATAATAATAATAATAATAATAATAATAATAATAATAATAATAATAATAATAATAACAATTGTAAATGTTAGTGAATATGGTATATATATATATATATATATTATATTCATCATATATATTAAATGTTGTAATTATATTTTATCATATTAGGATATTTTTATAACTTTCTTATTACCTACTCTTACCTTGCCTATATATAGGCCTCTTCATTGTATTGTAAAATGAACACAATATTAAATATACATATAATATAATATTCTCTTTCTTTCTTTTTAAGATATTGTTGTATGTTGGACTGCAACTCATTCCTTTGCCATATTTTCCTTTCAGTAACGTTTCATGGTGATTTTTTCCTCTATCCGCTAGTTTCTCTATGTTCTTTCATCTCCGACCAAAGTTCCTCAAAGTTCCTCTGTGGCTTTGTAGCTTGACTTTTTGTGCTCCTTTCGAATACGATCAGCCCTACAATTCAGATTCCTGTGGTTCTGAATCTAACTTCACAAGTGCAATGTGAAACAGTGAAAACACAAAAAGAGTCCAAATTCGGCAATTCTTTTGGAAAATCGATGTTTGAATCAAATGCCAAAAATGGACTGCTTTGCCAGATTACAGAGTCGCCACCTAAATATTTTTGAGAAATTTAGGAAACCCGTGACTCGTGTCAAAGGCCACTTATCCGTCATCACCAAAGTGTCTCGACTTGAAAACTTAGGTACGAGAGGGGAAGGTCATGAATTTAGCACCCCATTCATCCGATCAAAGATCGACCTTTACTAATTATGATGTGATTCTTATTTATATTATTCGCTCTTATTCCGATTTATTAGGCTAACTTTACTAGGTGATGCACGCAAGTATAGACTAATTTTGCAAAAGTTGGAACGCTTTGATTTCATGTTTGTTCGAAAAGTGTTTGAATACGCGTCACTTGAAAAGGTGAGGTGAGCTCGTATGTACATTAATCAATTTATCCGAATTTTCACATTTAGCCTTCATCCATAGGTATTCAAAGAGTTATATCACTTAAGTATTTAGCCTCGTGGTGTTATACTTTGGTATGACAACAATCACACTTATGCGATATGCTAAAGCGATAAGTGCGCACATAATACTCCAAGGCAAGCCAAAAAAGAAGAAATAATTAGGAAAAATGCATGATATCCTAATGATATAAAATGACTAATGCAACACATGCAAAAATGCTACTACTTGATTCGGTTGTCTAATAAATCATGTAAATCACTTTGATAGCATGTGGTGGCGCACGTATTCAAGGAAGTAATAAATGACTATGCCATTAGAATGATGAACCGAACCTAATCCATGCGAGACAAATGGCTGCAAATCATGGAAAATGCTAAAAGAAACATGATGTTCTATTCTATCCATCATAAGTAATGAAACAAAAAGGAGAAAGACGTAGGGTTGGAAGACATACACATTATTACATATTTTGCCCTCATGCAAGAGGGTCCGAATGAGTGTCCGAGTGTCCGAATTAACCAGCTATTACTAATTCTATTGAATAAATTAAATAACTAACTAACTAAGTTATTACAACAAGAATAATACCGAGAAACAACGACAATTCTTACAACACAACTCAACTAATTATAGCAATAAAATGACAATAATAATGACACTGACAATAACAATTATAATGATATTACAAGAATAATATTAATTAATTACAACAATGAACAATCAACGAGGCACAATGACCGCATGCATAGGGTCCAGAAGCTGCACTGTCTGCCCAGATTGTTATGCCTCACCCTCAACCACTGCCCTCTGCTTCTGTTAACAACTTACTGCTTACCACACATTTCAAGCCGGCTGGCCCCAAATGAGATTTGGCCGGCACCAAAGAGAGCCGGCCGGCCCCTAATTTTGTGCCAAATTTGTTTTTGTTCTATAGGGTGAGAACGGTGCAGATAGAGCCTTTCTAGGCCCTGTTTGTCCCTTTTACTCTTCTCTGTCACGGGAAACTCAAGAGAAGAACGAAGCCGTTTCCAAAACCATCAATGAGCAAGTTGTTTGCTTGATGATTTCAGATATGATTTTGGACAAAAATCAATGAATGCAATGAATAATAACTGCCCCTCCCTCCTATCATGGAGTGAGCTCAAAAAGGGAGGTAGAGATGCTTCAAGGTTCATCAAAACATCATAAGTTGACATATGACAACCCTTGACACGATGGACTTGGCATAACGTCCGGCCGAACCTAGGCCTGTCAACGGATCGAGTATAACCCAAATCCGATCTGATTAATCCAGTTCATTTATACAAATCCGAATCTGAATATCTATTTAATTCGTATATGTGTAGCCCAATTTTAAACGGGTTGGATTCGGATAAATCCGACTTGGTCTGTTTGTTTGCCCAATCCGATTACATTGAATTCCCAGAAACGAAATTAGATCTCAGAATCAAATCTCTCTCATCGTCTCTTTCATCATCTCTCATCGAAGAAATCACATTAGGTTTGAAATCAGATCTCTCATAAGCAGATCTCTCTCTCATCGTCTGAAGATCAAATCTCTCTCTCATCGTCTTCAAACGATCAAATCTCTCTTTTATTGTCTGAAAATGCTCCGATTGATGACGATGAACTTAGCCAAATCGAGCTCTCTGCTGTTTCTGATCTAGGTATTCTTCTTCGACCACTCTCTTCCATCACAAACAACTCATAAATTTTTCAAAAACACAAAATGGGCTGTCATCATCACAGCTTGTGGTTAGGTGGATCGATCTAGAGTTGAAAGCCTCCCATTTTCTCTCGATTTGAAAACCTCCAACAGGGCTTTGGCTTCTCACGATCTCAAATCTCTCCGCACCCCCCACCAATAGGTTTGTTATTTCCAACCCACGTTTCGTTTCTGCAGAAAAATCTAGGGTTTTTTGTGGATCTGTTTAGATTCCATTTACATGGATTTTGGTTTTGATGCCTGAATTCACAAATGTGCTATGCTTTTTTAAATTATACGTACCTATTTGCTTCCATTGAAATTGATGTCCTTATACTTAATAGGGTAGCTGAATTTTTGATTATCTTTAAAGGGTTCACATTGTAATCTTTTTCAATGTTCATTTATTGTCTAGATTTCGAATTGTTGTTTTGAGGGTTTATATAAGAGGTATGTGCTTGTGTTTAGGGTCTTGGAAGTTTTGTACAAAGCACCAAATCTCACGGAGAGTAAATGTCAGATCTTGAGTCTCATTTGCTTTGTTTGGTTATTTGAAAATATTGGTTAGTTGTAGGATCAGACTTGCCCTATGTTTTAATAGAGAAATGCTTAAGTTGCATGGTATCTTTTGATGGAGGGATATTTGCCTCTTCAGTGGAATCATATTGTCAAGTTTTTCTCTACTTCATTGAATGTTGTTTATGAGGTTTTTCCTTCATGTTAACAAGTATTCATGATTTTTTTATTATTATTTTATTTTTCGGACTGCCAATTGTGAGTTTGATTATAAATTGGGTTATCAGTTTTGTTGTTTTTAAATGAATTCTGCATGCCTTTACAGTAGATTGATCACATGCACACAAATCTATATAATTTCCAAATTGAAGTGTTTGGTGCACACTGTTCTGTGCTTGTCTGCAGTTCTGTTTGCTGCATAGTTATCTTGCCAACTCCTGCTCCTTTATGTTTGATTTATTGTGCAATGCATATTTGATTTTTTGAGCCAAAGATGTCTTCGGATTATAGCGAACCTATTATTGCTGATGATGTCGAGTTTGATGACGATGTATCTCAAGGATCCACAAAGAGGATTCGAAAACTAACTTCGAAGGTATGGAATGACTTTGTCAAATTTAAAGGACCTAATGGAAATGACATAGCCAGATATAAGCATTGCAATAGGGAATTTGTTGGAGAGAGTAGGAAAGGGACTAGTCATTTAAAAAATCATTTGTCGAAGACATATCCAGTACTTAAAGGACCAAATGCCCTAGGAATGCTCGTAAGGCTGCTTCTAAGTCTACTCATAAGGCTGCAACTTTTAAATTCGATTAAGAGAGAAGTCGCATGGATTTTTCTAGGATGATAATCAAGCATAATTATCCTTTTAACATGGCTGAGCATGAGTTTTTTTGAAATATTTTGCAATAATCTTCAACCAATGTTCAAACTTGTGTCTCGTAACATTGTTAGAGCGGATGTCCTTGATGTTTATGAAATAGAAAATGCCAAGTTATATCAATTTTTGGATGAGCTCTTTTCTAAGATCACCTTGACAACTGATATATGGACTTTAGACCATCAAAATTCTGCCCATACATGTTTGACTGTCCATTATGTGACTAATGACTGGGAGTTAAAGAAGAAAATCCTTGCTTATAGACGCATTGATTACCCGCATGATGGAGACCATATGTTTAACTTTATCAAAGATCTAATTTTAGAGTGGAACATAGATAAGAAGTTGTTTTCAATGGTAGTCGATAATGCAATGAGTAATGATGTCATGGTAAGACTCTTAAAGCGATGGCTACATGACCAAGGATTACTACATTTGGGTGGACAATTGTTTCATGTGCGTTGTAGCACACACATATTGAATTTAGTTGTTCAGGATGGTTTGAAGGTGATTGAGAGTCTTATTTCAAAAATCCCAGAAAGTGTGAGATATTTAGGGAGGTCTCCTTATGGAAAACAAAAATTTGATGTTGCAGTGAATCATGTTAAGTTACATTATAAAAAGAAAGTCCTCATGGATGTTCCTACCAGATGGAACTCCACTTATTTAATGCCTGAAGCTGCATTAGATTTGAAAACTGCATTCCACTGCTTAGGGAAAATTGACAAACAATATAAGCATAATCCTTTTGAGGATGAGTGGAATGTAGCAAATGTGATTTGTGGGTGCTTGAAGATTTTTTTGGATGCTACATCTCACTTTAGTGGTACCACTTTTCCTACTTCAAATGTGTTTTTTTCCCGATATTTGTCTTATTCAACTTGAAATGAAAAAATGGGAGCAAAGTGAGTATGATTGCATTTGATTGATGGCCGGTCTAATGAGAGTGAAATTTCAAAAATATTGGGAAGAATGTTCTTTGGTGTTAGCAATTGGAGTGGTTCTTGATCCGAGATTTAAAATGGACTTGGTGGAATACTACTTTGGGCTTATTTATGGTGCTAATGCTAATAAGCATATTCAAAGGGTTCGTAATGGTTTTGTTGATCTCTTTTATGAGTATAGGAGTGATTCTTCTGATTCTATGAGTTGCATTGCACTTGTTTCTAAAAATAGTAGCTTAAGTGGTAATCAATTACTTGTCGGTTCTTCGAAACAAGAAAGTTTGGCTGCTTTTCATACGTGGTATGCCCAAGAACGTGCTTCTAACATTCACGCCTATCAAAAATCAGAGGTGGAGCAATACTTGGAGGAGTTGGTGTTTCCAAGTAATGAGAGTTTCAACATTCTACATTGGTGGAAAGTGAATAAAGCAAAATTTCCTACTTTGGCAAGGATGGGTTGTGATGTTTTAAGTGTTCCAGCTACTACGGTTGCATTAGAGGCTGCATTTAGTGTAGGAGGTAGGGTAATTGATGAGACACGTGCTTCATTACTTCCAGATATTGTGGAGGGCCTTGATCACTTGCAATGATTGGATTGAATCAACCAAAAATAGAAGTAAGTGAAATATTGAAGTTTTTAAATAATTAGTTGTTCTTTAGTTTAGTTCTATAAATATCTTAATGTCACATTATTTTGAAATTGCAGACGTAGAAGAATGCTGACATGAGTAGGTGGATTGAATTGAATCACTTGGTTTGTTATTTTCATTGTCTCTTGGGATATGCCATGAGAATTACATTACATTAAATACTGTTTAAGATATATGTCAATTCCAATTATATATATTTACTAGTGTTCCAGGGTTGTTTTTCTTGACTGCTTTTCTTTCATGGCTTATGTTGTTTTCTCTATGCAGGTTGAATCATTGGAATCGACAATTGAAGCTTTAATGACTAAGAACTCACTGCAACTATCTTTTTTTGACTCTGTTGACAACACAACATTGCTTTTGATAGTTTCTGATCCAATTACAATGTCCTGTTTTTGATCTTGCAAATTTAGAAGAGGAGAAGAATGTGCTGAAATTAAACTATTTGCGTAATCAACCTTTGTCAGATTGAGGCATAGTCTGTTCTGTTCTCTCCCTTCAAATTTTCTGCATTTTTTATGACCTTTTCTGTCAGTTGTTCTTTTTCACGGTTGTATTCTGTGATAGTTAATTTTGTTGGAACTGTTTCAATAGCAGAAGCCATTTTAGTTTTTTCTTTTGTTCTTGTTTTTAATCATCTTTGGGATGATTAAGGGTTTGGTTTTTTTGTTTTAGCTTTAGGTCAGCTTGCTTTATAGCTATCAAAACAGTTCTATATGTATTCCCGTTGTTGAGTAAAAAGGTTAAATACATCGAGTAAGAATCATTTTCTTGTTATTGTACATAGAAATCTATCTCATACCAAATGTTTTTGCAAAAGAATTTTCGTCTTTTTTTGTTTTTTGTTTGTGTGTGTCTATTAATTAGGTGCTATATCTAATCCAGGTGGCTTTTGTGCTTAGTGAACTTGATAGAAAAATCTTACAGGATCAAAATTTGATGTATATTTGTTTGTATGTGAAGAGGGTCAAATTGTTTGTATATCAAACATTGTTTTTTTTATTTGTATATAACCATATGGACATTTTGTTATGCATATGTCTATTGTGATATTACAGGTGGATGAAACTAATGAAACCTTGAAGGAAAATGACAATGTTAGATCCCTATACTTCTTTTATATATTATTTCTTAATATAAATTTTCATTTAACCTTGAAATGCCTTTCTATATATATAGAGAGAGAGAGTTACTGTCTGTTTGAGAAAGAAATATTAGTGTTGTGATCTGTGATGGATAGGACCTTAATGTCCTTTACATTTGTGGGGTAAGCCTGATTGGAGCAATGTTTAGCAAATCCTTGGTATTGGATTGGAGTAATATGTTTAAACTTTAAATTTTATTTTCAAATTTTCAGGCTTATAAAAATGACAATTGTTTATGATATCATGAAAGGTTATAGCTTTTCATGTAATTTTTTTTATTGGTTTTCTCATTATGTATCATCTTGCCACTACTGGTAGTGGCTATGGCTGCTAACTAGAGAGAGAGAGAGAGAGAGAGAGAGGGAAAAAAATAAAATAAATCGGATTGGATTATGTGGATCGGATATCTGTTTAACATGGATCGGATCGAGTTGCAAGTAATTGGATTTTTAATAAACAGATTCGGATTAGGATTTGGATTCATAGTTAATCGGATCGGATATGGATCCGACTCGAATCCGACCCGTTGACAGGCCTAGCCGAACCTAAGTAATATAACTCATGTTCTTTATGTTGGTTGGTTCATTTTAAGCCAAATTCATTAGTCTTTGCCATTCTTTAATCCATTTGTCCAAGGTGATGATTACGTTCACTAAATGAGAAGCATGTCAAACGGGAAGTGATTCTCAACATGAAAGAGAAACCATGCTGTTGACGATAAACCTCCGTAGAGATTAAGCCATTAAGCATAGATCTCTAGCTCATGTTTTGAATAACCATCAACCGATTGAAACAACTCTCAAACGAAAGAAATGGATGGTAAGTTGCTTATTAAAATGAGGCTCTTAACATGGAAATCAATTAAAGAAAAGCAAAGAACAACATAAAACAAGCTATATATGAGAACTAATAATAATACAAATGAACTAATCAAAGCTTGAACGAATTAAATAACCTAGGACAATCCTAAAACAGCCCCTAATAGGTGAAAAATAGTGTCTCAAAGTGCATGAAAAGATCCCAAAAAGCTAAACAACAAGCAAAGAAAATAAGGCTAGTAAGGAAGAACAATGAGGGGTGGCTAACCCCTCCACCTTTGAAACCTCAAAGCATGATTTTTAGCCTCTTTTAAACTTTGAAAATCAATTTGGAAAGCAAAGAAAAGGGTGTAAAACAAGGGTTTGAGCTACAGGTGAAGGTGCAAAAAAGAGTGTTAACTCTCTCTACCCTTTGGTAGCTATCCAAACCCAAGCTTAGACACTTGAAATAGGTTCAAGAAAATATAAAAACACAAGAAATAGATAGCAAAAGACAACAAAGAGAGCAAGAGAAGAGGTAGTAAGTTTATACCTCTCAAAGAAGGTAAACTCTTGTTTGTAACACAAGCTTGGTTCAAGCACACTCTCAAGCTTGAATTGTGATTCACAAAGCACAACCAAGGTTCTAAGGTTATGATCTAAGGTGGTAGATGATGTACAGATATACATCAAGAGAGATAGGTTTGCTCAAATGTGACTTGTGTAGGAAGAAGGAGGTCTCTCTTGTGTGTATAGGCTCTTGGAAAATTTTCAACCATCAAAACAGAGCCAAGAGCTCGTATTTATAGAATTTGGGCCAAAAAGATCATAAATATCTTCAAAAATGGATAGCTGGCCCTTTCTTGCCCAGAATAGTGTTTCTCGCCAAAGAGAGCTGGCTGGCTTCTAATGGCTACGGCCGGCTCCCACTGTGGGCTGGCCGGCCTCCAATTTTTCCCCTGTTTCTCTGTTTTACACTCAGTGCAGGTTGATACAATGCTCAAAAATGAAATTTTGGGGTACAAACAGTGTAAATACGTAACGTTTGGGATTGGTTCAAGAGCTTGAACTTAGGCTCTCTTTGTTGAGAATTCGAATCATACACAATACACTTTTCATCATTGAGTGTGCCGGACCAAGCGCTGAAGTCTTGCGGACAGTAAAGAATGGGGTGTCTACAAGCTCCTACCTTTTCAACATCGCCAAACTCCACCCTCAGCAGCTATTACCGGCCAATTTGTCAGTGCTTTGCGCCTCGTCGGAGATGCCTGATTTTCTCTTCGACTTTTCCGCTTCTCTGTTATCTTCAACAAGATCCCCGACCTCTATTATTTTTCAAACCCAACTCTCTCTCTTTGTTTTCACCCTTTCGTAGACACCCCATTTTTGACCGTCCTTAAGGCTTAGGCGCTTTATTCCAAACACCTGATGATGAAAGTTACACTGTGCAATCTTTTGAATTCTCAGCGAAGAAATTTGGATTCAAGCTCTAATCCCAAACCTTATGCCCCATTTTGATCAAAACTATTTTAGACCTTAAAACCCTCTTTTTCAAAATATTTTTCCAAATGTTTCTACGATGTTCTGAGGCTCGCATTTCGATTAAACTATTGCACTTTTCAGTAAAACGAATAAGGACAAAGTGGAAATAAATGGAAGAGAGGTGAACTCTTTGAAAAATATTTCAAAACATCTTATTTATAGGTTTGGATTTGAAGGAAATAGGAGGGGATGGAAGAAAACTAATTGGGGAAAAGGTTGAGCATCAATCCGTTAAAATAGAAATGAGCAGCCTTCACTAAATTATGCATATCTCTCTAACCACTTATAAATTATATGTGAGGCCACCACCATTGGAAAGTAGACTTTCGGGGCTTCAATTTAGACTCAAGAATCACCTAAAACTGAGTCCAAATGAGGGAGATATGCCCATTTAAAGTAGGGCCTGAAGTGTAGATTTTTGGACCCGACCGGATTTGTTTAGATCCGGCCATGGCTTGTTTAGACCCAGTCGGGTTTCAATGAAAACTTGTCTAGAGTGTTTTTTTAGACCTACCCCTGCATTATTAGGTCCGGTCGTGGGTTTTTTGGGCCCGACTATGGGTTTTGGGGCCTGGTCGGGTCTCATTAGCGCTAAATAGAACAGCTGGCGGGAATTGGATAGCTGGCTTTATTTGAAGATATTTTTGACCAATTTGGCTCAAATTCTATAAATAGACCCCCTGTATTCAGAATTAAAGGTTATAAGATTTTTCTAAGGGTTTTGAAGGATATTGAGAGCTAAAACTATCTTCCTTACTTCTTTGATCTTCAAATCTTCTTGAACAATACATACACAACACATACACTATTAGAACTTGTTCTTGAAGCTTTGTGTTGAAGTTTCAAACCATATTTCATAAACATGAGGGTGTTTGGAATCAAGTTTGATCAACAACCAAAGCTTGCTCTCTTCAAGATGTATAAGCTTGTCACCTTTTTCCTTGCTTTCATTTCAATCTTTTTCTTGTGTTTTCTTACTATTTTGGATCCATTCCAAGTGTTGGAACTTGGGGTTGAAGAGCTACCAAAGGTAGAGAGGCTTAACACCCTTTTTTGCACTTCATCCCATAGCTCATACCCTTTGTTTTTGCACTTTTTTTTTGGTTTTCATAATGATTTTCAGAGCTTAGAAAGGCTAGAAAACATGGTTTAGATGTCCCAAAAGTGGAGGGGTTAGCCACCCCTCCTTAGTCTTGCTTACTAGTTTTGTATCTCTTTGTTTTTGCCTATCTTTTGTGCTCTTTTAACATGGTTTTAGCCATTGTTTTTGGACTCTTTTGGGACTGTTTTTGGACTGTTTTGGGCTGGAATATGTGATTTAAAATTGCAAAAAGTGGAGGGGTGGGCCTTGTTCTTTCCTTACTCTTCTTACTTACCTTTTTTTGCTTTTACCACAATTTTTTTTTGGGATATTTGTAGGCTGTTTTAATGTCTTTTAAATTTATGCTTTGAATAT